ATAATGATTCTCATCCATAGATGCGCAAGGCATTAACTCCCATGGAGAATGTTACAGTTCAACATACTAAAAGATTACAATGTCAATTATAGTTTTAGAAACATTAATATATGCTAATGTCAGAGAAAGGGATTATATATTTTATCAATAAAAGATATGAATAGTATTGATGTTGACATTCACATGAGATCTAAAATCAATCCCTTGTTTTTATTTATGTAATTAATACTAACAACCCTTCGATCTTATGCTTATAATTATAGATTATTCTCTTAATTAGTATATTTTGACTATCTTAATTAAGCTTTGATTGATTGATAAGAATGAGAGAGAACAGGCACGTTATAATACGAATATGGGGTATATCTATTATTAAAAATATAAGGTATATGTTTTTGTGTATTTGGACATGAATACATACACCATTTTATTTGTGTGTTTTTTAAATTAAAAGCATAAAATATAATTTAGTAATTACATAAATTATATAAATATTAAATGTATTTTATCATACTAATATCATAATAATTTTGAGCATCATTATAATATACATATATATGTATTTTTTAAAATTAAAATCATAAAAGTATGATATAAGTCTTATATAAATTAATAAATATATGAGAAGGATTAAAAAAAAAGGTTAAGGTTATAGATGGGTTGTTTTAATAGTAGCTTTATGAGTTGAATTCATTGAATGATGGTTTTCTCTAGAAAAGGTTAGGAAAAGCCAATTTTTCTAATTTTAGTTTATCACTTCCATGTGGCATGTACTGTAGTAGATCTTGAATTCACAAAATTTCTAAGGTAAAGCTTTAGTGCCTGCAAAAATTTATTTCTCATCATAAAGGCTGTATTGGTTTGTTGCAGTATTTTATTTGTGGTAAGAAAATATGAGAATGTCAAATGGTTAATACTTTTTTTTTCTTAAGTTTATAATAAAATTAAAATGAATCACTATTGGAAATATAGTCATTTCCGACAGATTGCGGACAAATCCGTCGGAAATCAACATTGTTGGCGGATTTTCGACGGATTAAAATTCAATGATATTTTGGACGTTTGAAAAGTATTTCTGACGGATAATTGTAGTAAAAAACATTTCTAGCAAATTTTCCAAGGCTTTCTGACTATTTTTGGATTGGAAAAACAATGAGTTTTGAGATGTTACCAGCAGAATTTCCTCCAAAAATTCCTACTAAAATTTCACAAGGTTGTCGCTAGCATTTCCGACAGATTTTTCCGTTTCCGGCGTATGTTTGCAACTGAAAAATCTGTCGGAATACATGTCCCAAATTCGTTGTATCGACTTTTTTGACAAAAAATCTATCAAAAATCTATAGCACATAAAAAAAACAACCTCTTATGTCAATTAATCCACAGTACAACACAACATAACATAAATATTTTATGCAGTAAAACATTACAATAATCTACAGACATATACAATATTGTATAAAGTAAAAATATTATAGCATCAAATTTTATTTAACTTCTTCTCAAAATGTTCTCAAACACATACAAAAGTCCTTATACCAAAAAAAAAAAAAAAAACACACACACACACAAAATCTACTTAGAATCAGTTCCCTCACTCTCCTCAGGCGATGCATGCACAATCTAGCTTCTTTTCCACTAAATTGTTCTATGATTCTCTCAAGTTCCTCCAAGATCTGACTTTGCTGCATTTGCATGTCCGCTTATAATTTTCAGGCATGCTCCAGCTCTGTGATTAGGGTAGCCACCTACTAGCCAACCAAGCCCTCCTGGGTGCTTACTGAATGCTTGAAGAACTAGAGAATTGTCCCTCGTATGCGTAGGCCTACAAGCCTAATTCATAAACTCTTCCCTTTCGCATTCCGCGCACCACCTCTAATGAACAAATTTATGAATTTTTAGGCTACTGTAAAACTCATTTATCTTCTAACAAACAAAAATAAAGTGCATTAATTGGTTGATATATGAAATCTCACTATCTATGCAAATTATGATATTGAATGACTATGGCATCTCTTACACTTCAATGTAGCCTATAATGTAGACCTTATAGGCTACATGGAGTTCATTTTACAAATGTTTCGCTATGTTGCTTGAGATATTAAGATTATTTGATAATAGGCAGGAAATTTTTTCATCTAAAGCTTCTTAAGTGACTACATATAAAATAAAAAAAAAGTTATGCAAAGTATTATCACATATAGTCTTATGTGCGTACGTATCATATTGCATTTTCAACGAAGACTATGGAGTATATGCAATACAATACATAATCAACCTCACTCCAATTTAAAATTTTCTATAAGTTACTCATAACATATATAATTCTATAGAGATCACTTATCAATAGGTTTCACAATAATGTAGATCCATATGCCTATTCAAAAGTGAATGAATTTTTGTATACTACAGAAAAATTCAAGATTTCTAGCAGAAATTAAAATTGACTCAAATTTTAGCCGACCTAATTTCATGTGGAAATCCGACCGACCTAATTTCATGTGGATATTCGACCTAAGATTTATTTGGCATTTCCTACATGTTCTATCACTTTGTATCTTTATGAGTTATTCAATAGAAATATTTCTTTATACCATAAATTATTTGCTCTATATCCTAGGAAGTGTCCAACGAACTTAATTTTATTCTTTTCATTCTTCTCGATGCACTATAAGAATATTGGTACTTGATTCACGTTTAGTAAATAATTGGTTAAAACATATAACTTCATTGTTGTTAGAATATGTGTTCAAATATGGTTTGAATCATGTCTGAATATTCTTTAAACTATATTCGAATCATGTTAGGAATTAAATGTTCCAATATATGACTCGAACCATGTTTATAAAAGGTTAACAAAAGGTATGACATGTGCTTCGATCATGGTTGAAACACATATCCTAATAAAGTTTTGAAATAGTACATTTGATATTCTATTTGGTTTTGCAATAGAGCGCCATCAAAATCTTAATCACATCTATAGACGTTGTTGATGAACTTTTTTTTTACCGATCTTCAACGATGTGGTCATCTTTCCCTCTTGAGCAAAAACTCTTGAATGAAAGTACAAATATATCATTACTGGAGAACAGTGAAGTTTGAAGGTGCGGGAGAAAATAAACAATGAGCCTATTTAGCATATTTGCACATATTTGCTCAAGAAAATAAACAATGAGCCTATTTAGCATATTATGGCCAGGACAAGGCATGCAAACTTAAACTTCCCTTCTCATAAGCCTAGTATATGATTGTGAACTTTTATTAACGCTTTGTTTAGGGCAGCTTTTGACCATTATTTTTTCGCTATTTTTTAAAAAATATTTGTACAAAAAAGCTGATGTAGAAAGCATTAAAAAGATATCCTAAACAAAGCCTAAGTGTTTGTATCAATAACACAAATTTAATTTATAAATTTGTAAATGCAACCAATCCATTGAAATCAAAATGACCATGTTCTTGTGAAGAACAGTTGCATTAAGCATGAGAAGAGTTCATTCTAATTGCTTTGCAAAGTATTAGTCTTCAAACGGTATGAACCAAGAGAAATTTTTCGAAAGCTTATTTTACTTATACACTATAACTCACATGAGAGTTAATTTGGGATATAATTTGTTTATTTTTTTTAGTTATTATTATGTGATATTATATTTTAAAAAAGATAAAATATGTACCAAATGAATTTCGACTTGAAAATGGGAATTATCCTAAATTGATTGAGAAATAAAGAAAAAGATATGATGACATTGTATTGCAATTTAAATAAAATATCAAAGAACCACCATATATAAAGCTAGAGGAGTTAGCAACTCCTCTAGACATAGGGAGATATTATACATAGAGCTTGGAACCCACATGATGGCCATCATATTGGGGCTTGTGTGGGAAGAAAGAAACAATCAATATCTTTGTATATTGTGTCAATCGGCTCCTTATGATGATGTCAAACTTATAAAAAAATAAAAATATATATCAGGAAGCAAAAATAGTTTATTTTGCTCATTATCGCTTTTCACAGACTTTTTTTGTTAAAAAAAGGTCGGTTGGGGGCAAAAAATAAAGTTAGGGGGGGGGGGGGGAGCGCATATTGCAAATAATCCTTATAATATTGAGGTTTTACTTTTTTAGGGGGACAATCAGCACTACACAATTTCGCTCTTGCATCTACAACCAAATTGTAAATGTCCATTTGCAACTACCACGAGCGTACCTCCACTCAAACGCCAAAAAGAAACACATTTTTTCGAATGTGAATGATGCGACGCCAACATTGGTTTCACACTATTCACAAAAAACTCATTTTTTTTTTTTGCGAAAATGAAGATGAGAAATAATCCAATGGAATATATATATTTTTGTGTTAGAAATGATCCTTACAATACTGAGGTTTTACTTTTTTTAGGGGGAAAATCAGCACTACACAATTCCGCTCTTGCATCTACAACCAAATTGTAAATGTCCATTTGCAACTACCACGAGCCTACCTCCACTCAAACATAAAAAAGAAACACATTTTTTCGAATGTGAATGATGCGACACCAACATTGGTTTCACACTATTCACAAAAAACTCATTTTTTTTTTGCGAAAATGAAGATGAGAAATAATCCAATGGAATATATATATTTTTGTGTTAAAAATGATGTTCAATTGGAGATGAATTACTGTTTGATATGAATATTACTGCATTTCGATGCGGAAAATGAGGATTTCAGTTAGAGATGCCATAAATCCTCAGGACGATGAGATTTGACACAAGAGTGCACAATCACTTACTAATATTTCATAATGTATGTAATTTATTTAAGATAATTTACATGCATGCCACACAAATTATAATATAAATATATAACAAAATTTAAATATTTTCTAAGTATATTGAATCATTGTCAACCGTTTCAATGGATAAGCGGAGGTTTGAACGAGCTTCCCGTTTGGGATTCATAATCTCTCGGGTTTGTTGAAAGGTACGACACTTTGTTAACCATTTAATTACCGGTTTGCCATGAGCAATTTCTTTTTGCAAATTATATCAGGACGTTAGTCACACTCGTCCTCACTCTTTATGGCGGGAAGGGCACCGCGGGAAACCCTAGAAACGTAGGGCTGCTTGTCCTCTCTTCATCTTCCTCTCCCTACGTGTCCCCTTCCTGAAAACCTTGAAACCCTCAAAATGCATCGGCTTGTGGCGACATCCTTCATGGCTTCCTCGCCACGCTTGCTTCTACTAGCCGGCTTACTCAGGAAGTCCTCCATTCATGGATTTAGAATAGAGTCGGTGCTGTGGTAAGCTCGAACTTATTTCCGTCTTATTTGATGAAATCCGCCCTCTTTTTATTGATTTCTTCCGTGGCTTCATGGGGATTCATCGGGCATTTGGTTATTGCTTGGCTTGACACTGTCTACTTGCCGAATGATCACAATGGGTGATGTTCGTTTCTGTAGAAGTATATTTGTATATTTGCATTCCGGAAAACTTCAGTTTGGGGTGTTGATGTCTATTATGTAAATTTTCACCTTCTAAGTGATCAAATTTGTTAACATTTGCTCCTTCTGCGATTGTGCATACAGAATAAATGGATTGCCGTATCTTCAACTTGCAGCACTGCCTAATAAAATATTTTGAGGTGAAAGCAGAGCAAGTCTACCTTATTATATTTCTAAAATCAAATGCATAAACACAAGCACAGACGTGCATATATGATTTTGGAAGTTAGTTCTTTAGATCTGCTAGAAGCACGACGAGTTCTTTATACTAGAATAACCCAATAGTTGCAACTATGGTGTACTGTTGAAAAACTTTATTTAAAGCTATTTTCATTTTACCAAGCATTCCATGTTATAGGCTCCAAACGCAATGATTATCCCTTTCTGAAAAAAATCATTAAATTTAGCTCACCAATAAGACTAAACTCTCTATCCTAATGAATTCCTTGAAGGGAATTCCCCTCCTTAATATGCTGCCCTTTGGTTTTCCCATTTTACCTCTCCTTTGCCAACTTTATTTTCTTCAATTGCTGGTGCTAGATTGAACTTCCTCACTTGCATCTGGGATAAGGCTATTCATGATATGTTGGTATCATTCTTTATAAGACAATACTAATGGATAGTTTAGGTACTTGATTCTAATTGAGCAGATACATGCATGCATTTGATATTCCATTTGCATAGAAGATATTATTTTCCATGAGCATTCCGATTGAGCTGAAGAAATAGTTTGCAGGATCAAGATACAATTTTTACCTGATTTGCACGGAAAATTTTTCATTTTTTTTTCAGCCCTATATCATTTTTAACTTATACTTTTTTTGAACTAGTAATATATGCGCTATTCAAATTTATGTCGTGTGGTAAGCATTTCATAATTGGAACCATTCTTATAAATTTTCTCTTTACCCTCTTTGAGCTCAGATTACTGTTTATTTGTTGCTTCCTGAAGTGAACTATATTACCTCCCTTGCTCATGCTTTTAAAAAAAAAAAAATGCAGGTCGATGCATAGAAGGTACTATTGCAGATCACTTAAGCATTTAAATGAGGTACCAAAGATAACAAGAAGGCCGAGCAAACTGAACATTTTGTGTGAAGAAGCTGATCATTCTCATATTAGATGGTGGAAAGAAGTGCGTTTACCAGTAATTATTGTGAGTATTATGCTTATGATTCTTTTACTTCATCTTCTAATGCATTTCTTCTAGATCTCATTTTCAGAAGTTGCTGATGTTCAAGAAGCCTTCTTCTCTTCAGCTTGTTAAAAAGCTTGCATATACAAACTTATTAGGGCTGGATGTTACCCTAAAAAATGGGAGGTAAAGTTGGAATTTTGCTCTCAAATCTTCCTACTATATACCTCTGATGTTTCTATTGCGTCGTGCTTTTCCATATTAGCAAACCTTTTTCATGTGCCGTCCACATTGTTTACATCTTCAGTTCCTTTTACCATGAAATATTGGAAATGATTGTGTTATTTAGTTGAGGATGTCTATCTCAAAATGGAACTTTTGTTTTAGTTCTCATTGTAGAATTTCTGGTCATGTAGCACTAGCTCATCAATTTATATTATTTTTGAGCATTTTGGAATGAATATCCTTCTCATAATGTCTCAACCCATGCTAGGCCCCTACCAATCGACGTAGGCCGCAACATAGGTAAACATATGATTCCTCGAACATTCATAACTTCTTAACATTTTAATAATATTCATGTCATATTTCAATTACATTCATATATAAAGCAGAAACATTTCAAATATTTCATTTATAAGATACGCATAAACATACAGAGCAACTAACAACCCTAAAATCTTTTTATAACAAACATCCTACCTCAGCTCAAGTCTAATCTTGCACAGCTATTCAACAAGATGTAAGTTTTAAATTGACCTAATTCTATTAGGCGTCAATATTATCTTTTCCATTTCTTGTAAAAACAACAAGAATATGAATCTGATGAGCTATGAGGCTCATAAATATATGTATTTATAAATAGAATTCAAGTGTCAAACACAGTGAACAACATGCATGTATTTATGACCAAACGTAATTCATAAATTAAATATCATTTACATTTCAAACCTTAAAATTCAGAAGTTACTTCTAAAAATGAATTAACATTTAGATGCTCCCATTAACTAGTAATAAGAAAATGCTTGGTAAAATATCATAGATATAATTATATCATGCCATCTAACGATTTAAATGACCAACCTTGAATTTATTCATATATATACTTCATTTAGTAATTATTTTCTTTTTTTACCTCTCATTTCATCTTAAGCTTATGAATATGTCTTGACTAGATGTAAAGGTTTTCTAGATGTCATCATAACATAAATTAGCTCTTAAGGCTTCATAATAATATTCATTGAAGCCCATATTATCATTATTGAACTATATTGAGGTCCTGATGTTTATATTATGGTACCTTTTACCTCACCTACATAGGTATTATAACATTTTGTTTCCACCAATCATCTAACATGACATTTCTTAGGCTTAGTAGTTTCTGATCAATTATTTAATTGATAATTAAATAGTTCATGCATTAATATAAAAGACACCAGTAATACATTATATGTATATGAAGAAAAAGAAGACGGTAGATGATTCATTGCTTTTCTTTCCAAAATGTTGTTAATTAGCAAAATATTTATATAATTATAATATATTTAATTTGAGCTATAATTTTTAAAATTTACATATGGTCGTTTACACCTAAATACTCGGTTATAGACACATTTAATAATATGAAGAATTTATATTGCATTTCATACTTAATTTTACTCAAATGCAATTGTATATGCCAAAAGACCAAAGAATTTGCTTTTTAAATTATAATTTGTATTTCTTACCACTGTTGTTAGTTGCCTTCTTAATTCTGACATCTCATAACTTTTTACGCTATTAAATCACCCACACAACACAATTTCTACAGTTTTTACTAGTTAATATGAATATTTATTCCAAAAAGATATTTCACGACAAAATTTTATCTCCTCATATACCAATTGAATCCTAAATAAGAATTAGGAATTTGTTTAAATTAGGAACTTTACAAATAACTAGATATCTATAATACAACTAAAACTTTTATCTCGTTTCCTTCTTCCCTAATTCTCCCTTCTGCCCTTTCCTTCCTTGAAAATTTTATTTTTTCTTCCTGGTCGAGCTTTTTGATTCCGCCCAGCTGAAACCTACGGCTTTTCTTTGGCTGAAGTGTTATGGAACGGGAAAGAGGGGAAGGGAATTATAAATTTATATATAACTCTATCTATACTTCCATAGAAATCAAAGCCTCTGATTCACTGAATTAGCCGTTGCATGGATAGATTAGTGGCGTCCTGACTTTTTTTATAGAAGAGCTACAGTAAATAATATAGATGAACAGTTAGTTAATTAAAAACTAAATCGAAACTAATTCCATAACTTTCACACCTTTATAATTTAGCATATTTTTCAATATACCGATTTTCTCCTATTGACAAGTAGAACATAATGGAATGATTTTTTGTGATATTCGTAAAAGTTGATATTTTTGAATATAATTTAATTAAGGAGATTTGTATTTTTACTCCATGAAAGTTGGGTATCACACATAAACCTAAAAAAAGGAAGACCTTATTGTCCAATGGTTTTGAACCTGTCATGTTTTTTGGGTGTAATTATGCGTATGTGTTCTTCCTTCTAAATGATGAATTTCTTTTTTCGTGACTAACGTTTGTGTGATTCTGTGCTTTGCTGGCCTACCTGGCCTTGCACCATTAAAGAAATATGACAATAAGCTGCATAAAATACCGTTAGCACTCCATCTTTTGACAGGAATGCGCATGGGTGCAGTAACTACTGTTATAGATGTTGGATATACTGGAAGTTTAGTTTCTTCAATTAGAACTATTTGTTCATGAAATATGGTTATTTGGATATGGAGACATCAGAATGCGCTCTATATTGACTACAAAGGTAGAAGCATTTGGGCGTTTAATTTGAAGTGAAATGATGAAGAGCCTAAGACCCTTACAACCCTTCATGTGCCTTTCCTTTTGGTGAATTTTTAATATTACTATTTTGGTAAAATGCCATAATGGAAGGTAAAGTTTTACTTATTCAAATATTTGGATATCATGAAATTTTAAGGGTGTACTGATAACAACCATAAAAATAAATTGTCGTACTTATTAAGTGATGTAGAACCAAGCTAGTCATGATTGGGTTGGAATTATTAATGTAATAGAGTTGACAATTATGATTTCTCAATTAAGGAAATCAGAATTAAATCAAATACCAAATCTGAAGTTAATTTAGATTAATTGATTGAGAGACTTAATTGGGAGCAGCAAAAGGAAAAACAGAGAGAGGGAGGGGCTGGCCCCTTTTGATGGGGACTTGATTTGAGTGTTTTATGACTTGTCAATCATAGGCTATCAATTATGGGAGGGGAAATTAAGGTCAATCTTTCATTAAATTCAAATTGGCATGATTGTGAGAGGTTTCCTAATATAGCTCATGTTATTTAGGAAAGGGATTTCAGATTTTGAATAAATTAAAATCTGATTTGAAAACCTTCCTAATTTAAAATATGCTAATTATGGAATGTAGTGACTATGCGTTTGAAATTTAAAATTTGAAATTAAAGGAGAGAGGTGGGGTGTTGACTTGTCAATCTTGAAATATTAATTAGCGAAAAAATCATGATAATTATCTATTTGAGTTTCAAATAGCATGATTGGAAGAGCTTCCTAACATAACTCTTTTATGTTAGGAAATATATTTCAAATTCAAAATTATTTAAATTCGAAATCTTTTGACTTTCCAAATTTATAAGAATTTAAATAAGGAAAGTAATGAGTGCTTGGTTTTGAAATTTTGGAGCCAAGAGGGGGGTGGGATGGTGGCCGGCGGCTAAAAAGGTAATGGGGTCGGTGGTTGGGTGGGGTAAGGGTTCGGCCAAAGGTTGGGGAAAGTGGAGGCTGGCAGTTTGGTGGAGGTGGTTGGGCCGAGAGGTGGGGAAGGACTGAGGGAAGAGGAATGATATCAGAGAGATGAATATGGCGGTTAGGGGAGAAAGAGGAGAGGGAGTTGGTGGAGAAGATAAACCACGAGCCCGGACACTTCCAATGGTTGATGGGTAATACTTTCTAGGGACTTCAAACCACGAGCCCGGACTCTTCCTGCGGCTCGTGGGTAGTATGTTGCCCTCACATAGAGACTTCAACTCTCATAAGAACTCTCAAAGCTCTTAAGAACATAGTACATAATTTTCTCTTAATAATCATCAATCCCCTTAAAAAGAAGAGGACGTGGCTATATATTGCCAAATACAATAATAAGAAAAATGACAAAAGTGCCATTGGGGTCACATAAGCCTACTCCCCCAAGTGAGGGTAAAAACTAGAAAATGTATAAATAAATTAAAATACAAATAATAACTCAAAATAAAGTGGTACAATGATGGCCATTGATCTTCGGCTATGATAAACTTTCACAGTTGGATGTCCTCATCATTCTCCTGGGGTGGAAAAATAGCTCGACTTTGTTGAGTACACATCCTGGAAATGCAACCATGTTCTGATACCAAAATGATGTAGAACCAAGCTAGCCATGATTGAGGTGAGATTATTGATTTAATAGAGGCTAATTATGATATTTCAATTAAGGAAATAAGAATTAAATCAAATCCCAAATATGAATTTTTTTTGGAGTAATTGATTTAGAGATTTAATTTGGAGGAGCAAAAGGAGAAAGTGAGAGAGGGAGGGGCTGACCCCTTTGATGGGGACTTGATTGGAGTGTTTTATGACTTGCCAATCTTATCAATTATGGGTGGGGAAATTCAGGCCAATCTCTCATTAAATTCAAATTGGCATGATTGGGGGAGGTTACCTAATATAGCTCATGTTATTTTAGGAAAGGTATTTCAGATTTTGAATAAATTAGAATCTGATTTGAAAACATTCCTAATTTAAAATGCGTTAATTATGGAAAATAGTGACTATGCGTTTGAAATTTAAAATTTGAAATCAAAGGAGAGATGTGGGGTTGTTTAATGACTTGTCAATCTTGGAATATTAATTAGGAAAAAATCATGTTAATTATCTATTTGAATTTCAAATAGCATGATTGGAGGAGCTTTCCTAACATAACTCTTTTCTTTTAGGAAAGAGATTTCAAATTCAAAATTATTTAAATTTTGAAATCTTTTAACTTCTCAAATTTACAAGAATTTAAATTAGGAAAGTAATGAATGCTTGGTTTTAAAATTTTGGAGCTAAGGGGAGGGGGATGGTGGCCGGCGGCAATTTGTGGAGGTGGTTGGGCCGAGAGGTGGGGAAGGATTGAGGGAAGAGGAATGGTATTAGAGCGAGATGAAGGTGTCGGCTAGGGGAGAAAGAGGAGAGGGAGTTGGTGGAGAAGATAAACCACGAGCCCATATGCTTCCTACGATTGATTTGTAATACTTTGCCCTCACCTAGAGACTTCAAATCACGAGCTCGGACGCTTTCTGCACTGGTGGGTAGTATGTTGCCCTCACCTAGGGTCTTCAACTCTCATAAGAACTATAAAAATTCTTAAGAACAAAGTGCAGAATTTTCTCTTAATAATCATCCATCCCCACAAAAAGAAAAGGGGGCTATAAATAACCAAAAATACAATAATAAAACAAATGAAAAACGTGCCCCATGGGGTCACATAAGCCTACTCCCTCAAGTGAGGGTAAAAATAGAAAAATGCATAAATAAATCAAAATACAAATAATAACTCAAAATAAAGTGGTACAATCATGGCCGTCGATCTTTGGCTCCTCTGATAAATTTTCACGGTTGAATGTCCTCATCATTAAGCATAAGCACTATGTTCACATGAATGCTTGCTTTGAAGCTGGTGAGAGGGGTTATAATTTTTATTAATTGTTGAACTTTAAGTTATGATGCAATTTTGGCCCCTTATGAAGCCTGTCAGTGATTCTTGTAATTTGTGACAAGGTTCTACATTGCACCTGCCATTCGTTACTCACCATGCAAAAGAATTGCATAAATTATGATGGTTAACTTTTAATACGGCTTATACTTGACATGTTTTGCCAATGCTTGGTGCGAAGGACATAGGCTATGATGTAAGCAATGCCACTCCCCTTTTGGATGATTTTTTTTTTTTGAGGGGGGGGGGGGGGGGGGGGGGGGTGATGGCTGTTTGGTTCCTGCTCCCTGGCTGTCCTGGTTCTCATTGCTTTGGCTGTCTTGGTTTGGTTCCCCTTGTTTTGGCTGTTTGGTTCCTGCTCCCTGGCTGTCCCGGTTCCCCTTGCTTTGGCTGTTCGGTTGCTGTTGCTATCCCTTGACTTTCCCCTGTTCTGGTTGGTTATTTTGGGCAGCTGTTTGGGTGTCTTTTGGGCTTCCTTTTCCTCTATTTTTAGGGCTGTTTTGTGGCTATTTTAGGGAGTGTTATGTGCTTATTTTGGATAAGAAACCTGAGGGTTTTCTCTAGCTTGCGAGCTAGCTTATTTTCCCCTTCCCGTCTATGACTTCGTCTTGAACTTCTAAAACCTCTTTTTTCTCTCCACAAGTTACCATTCCATTGTATCTTTCTTCTCAAAAGTTGTAAGGCTTGATTAGTCGTATGGTATTGTTGTCTCCTTTAATTTAAAATTGTAAGAAGTGGTTGTGTTTGTTTAAACTACTGTGGGATATAATAGTATTGTTTTGTTCAATTTTTGTTTATGTCTATGTTTTTTTTTTTGTGTTGGTCTTTTGTTTTAAGAAAGGAAGCGATTATTTGCATACCTAATAGGCTTTAGTATTTTTTGGTTGCATGAGGCTACATCAGAAATATATGCAGCTCTGGGTACCACCATATTTTCCAATCTGATGTGGTTTTGCCAGTATAACGCGGACATTGACCTGAAAAGCACTTAAATAATGCAATGATATGATTGTAGCAACGTTCTTCATCGTGCTTTGCTTGTTTTTTGACATATCATGGTTTTTGGAGGTTGAATCTGTACATAACATGCTTTTGAGACTACTGGTACTTTAAATTTTAGTTTAATTCTTTTAAACTGAGTTGGCAGATTTGTCCTTTGCAATGTGCTATAAACCATTTGATCCTGGCTTTAGTTCTACAATTTTACGTTGATGGGGCTTTTTGTTTTAGTTTAGAATGAGAAATCTGAAAAATAATATTTGATTCCTTACCTTTGTTATCATTTTTATTTGGTGCACTGATCTGTTATATGGAAACTCATTTGTTTAATTTAGCTTATTCTTATTCTCTTTTATAGTATTTTACTTGAATTTGTCTAGTATGGTTATCTCCTCTTTTAAAACTGCTATTATTTGATCTATTATTCATATTTTTCTTATGCAGCCTGAAAGAAGGGACTCTCAACTTGGAAATATTGCAGTTCAAGTCAAGATTTCCCCGGGAAGTTTTACTTTGCAGAGTATGCCCTTAAGATCTTTTGTGTTTTCATGTTAACGTTTATGATTTTTGTTGGTTAAATTTGTGAATTCAATTCATTTAACCAGTTTTATGCAATATGCCAGGAATTCGCTGGTTGTGATTTTTTGGGCAATATCTGAATCCGATTTGATACTCGCAATTGGATCTAAAATGAGAACAGAAGGAAATTCAAATGAAATAACACACATATTTATAAGTAAATTATATCTCGACAAAGCGGTTGGGATTGTCTTATATAGGTCCACATATTTTATGAACCTTTAACCTATGCTCCGTACTTGATTTTTATCTTTCATCAAGCTCCCTATTGCAAGAAGCCCTATGAACTAAGATTAAGTACTTGAACTTATTGTCAAACATATCCCATGTCATGACTTGGCCCGGATACTCGAATTAACGAAGCGGGAATGAATAGTCGGACGATTAATATATTTTTCCACAGTTACATATAACAGTAAGATCTAATGTTCCTCAAACACCGAGGAGCCACTAACACTACTTGTAAATTGAATATGCATTTAAACATAATATATTTTACCTGCTTTTATTTGGGCGCCATCTTCTGTAGACATACTCCTCTCTTTTAGCCATTTTCACTTATCAGGAGACTTATCTGAAAATGTTAGTTTAATAGAGTGATTTTAGAAAGTAAACTCAGTGGGTAATCGTCATTTCATTTATAACAGTTAAGCATATAAAATAAAACATGCATCATATACATCTCGTTATTCTTTTTCAGTTACATATTTGTAGATATATCACTTCATATAATATAGATCTTTAATGTACATCTTTCAAATAGCATATTTTTTTCCCAATTAACATTCATTCATTCTTTCTTTTATTTTCCTCATTTATTCTTTTTTTATTTAGTACAGGAGGACCTTTTGAAATATATACCAATGAAGGTAGAACCATTTTCATTTTCATTTTTTTTTCATTTCCTTTCAACGTGCGGGGGCACGTTGCTTCCATAAGTACAATTAAACACACACACACACTATATATATATATATATATATATTCTTTTATGATTTTTAGTTATTCAATATTCTCAATTTCATTTCATATTAAACCTTTAACTATAACAAATAAATAAGAATATTATAATGATCAATAATAGCCATATAACAATAAATCACATTTTCTTTTCCTTTATTCTTGATTTATTTTATTCATACAATATCCATTTAGTCAACATAATGTTATTATAGGTAATGATTATACTAAATTAAAAAGTATTTTATTAAACTAAAAGACATGAAAATTTTTATAAAACAATTGTAATTACCCATTTTGATACATCGTACTTCAGTTCCCTTCAAATCCTCGATGAAATATATTTCCAATATCCATCTTAATTCAGATATTTAATTCCCCTTCTTACTAAATCTTTCTTTTCTTCTTTCAATAAAGCTTTCTTTTCTTCTCTATTGAATCAATGCTTACTATAATTGAACTCTTCCTATAACAATAATAAATTAAGAATCAATGCTTACATTTTTCCAATTAGAGAAATGAAAATGTAAAAACTTTTTATCTAAATTAACATATATAAATAAGTCAATATCTTACTCCTTCCTCCGTCATCAAGGATAGAAGAAATATCGAATTCCAAACTTGGTTTCTTTATCTTCCTTTTTACTGCATTCAACTTTCTAAATTTTGAAAGAATATCCTACACAAGGATTTATATAAATCAACGATGAATCTCTGAGATTCGAGAATTAATTTACTCTTACTTTTAAAGAAAATTAAATCAAAATACCTTAGTGAAGTTCTTCCAATTTCCTCCCCTTTCCTCTCTAAAATTTCATCTTCTTCCTCTTTCGAATCTCTTCCTTTACCTTTAATTAAACTTCCTCGTTGTTTTTAGGAAGTAACACGGAAGAATTTATACGGGATTCGAAAAAAATTGGCAAACAAACTTTTCTTCTTCTTCTTCCTCTCATTTACTGTCTCTTCTCTCAAGATTTGCTTCTTGTACGATAATGAGCAAGGGGGAGTTGTTGTTCGTGATGAGTCGTCTGAAAATCCCGAACTCAAACCTTCGCTCAAAAGGCGATTCGGAAGTCCCTAGACCCAGTTTGACTCACGTTTGGCCTGCTCAGACGCAGCTTTTGTCTTTGCCTGTTCGTGCGACTACAATTAGGGCTGGCCGGTTCAGTTGAATAGGCCAGGTTTTAAACCGGCTATTACATCCCACCTTCCTTTTATAGAATTGTTATCCGTTGCATTAGTAGAATGAACTTATGTCTATATCACTAACAACACAATTTCTTTTTCTTCGACAATTGTCCCTCACTTCTTAATTTCTTTTTCCCTTAGATACAAGGATTGTGTGGCCCCTTTTTCCCGTTAATCATATCCTTATCGATCTCAAGCATACATTTCCTGGTAGTGCTAATCTATTGCATGATTGAACTCACAAATGTTGTTCTTGATGCATTCTTCACCAAAGTTTGACCACGATTCTTTGAAGCAAAGCTACCAGGTTCGATTTTGCATCTCTTTAATGAGGCATGAACATTTTCACAGTAACAGCGGTATAAAAAAATCAGCTGTTTCTTCATCCTTGCGAGAAAAATCAGCTATTTTTTTTTCTTGTGACCATGAAAATATGCTGGTGCTGAAATTGGCTATTTTCTTTGTTTGTTGATCTACCAAGCCTGCATCGGCATCAAACTTTGGTGGTTTTGATGGCTTGACAGCTGTGGCAAACTAATCTATTGGAGTTGGAAAGTAACAAAAATGAGTAATTTATATTGTGTGCGTGCATGGGGATGGGTGGTTCCATGCATGCTCAATTAAGGATGTTTCAGCCAAAATCCAAGCCTTGCCAAAAGCCTTTAAGTTTTTTAAAAGAATATTTACTAGTTTTAAATAATTAAAAAAATTAATTATATCAAAATATATATCCTATGCAAAATTATGTTAATTTTCCTATTTAGTATATTCATCCATAATTGGAGGCTCAAACTTGCTTGTATGTTCAACATGATTTCCAATGGCAATCCAAATTTGGGCCACGCTTTGCTGGTTTGACAAAAGGTCTACCCATTAATTATATCCATAGCCATGTATACCAAATTGAAGCGTGGTGCTAGATGTCCATGTTTCCCGACATTGCTTGTAACCAACCAACACCCCCTCCCCTCAAATAATCCATCCCAATGGGTTGTATCCAGGGTGATAGGTTGGGCACTGTCCATCATTTTCTTGTGCAATCTCTCTCCTTATGAAAATTTTGAGAAGTTGGATTTATTATATGGTCATGGTCTTCTAGAAAATCTTTCTCAATACTCACTCGATAATGGTGGCTGCTCTCTATCGTTTGCTTGCATGTGTACTCTCTTTTATTTGGAAAAAAATCATTAAAAAACACTAGCTCCCTTTTTGTATCATATTCTCTCCGCCTCTCTCTTTCTCTCTGTCTCTCATTCACATAGTTTTTGAGAAGTTGGATTTAACTTATGGGTATGATCTCTTAAATGTTTTTTCCCAAATGCTTGATTTAATAAAGAAGATGGAGTGATTTTTGGCTATTAATGTCTTGTCTAAGTTCGTTAATATAGGCGAGGCACTTTAAATTTCAGATATTATGCAAGGACCCTAGAGGAAGGAGTTTTATAAGCATATTTTTGAAGTTTAAAAAGTTAATTGTTAAATAAACCACCAAATAAGGCCTTGTTACATATTAAATATAGCATAACTATTATCATTTTGAGAGATAATTTAATAATTATGCTAAGGCATTAGATAATAAAGGTATAGCAACCATAGTACATCCATGCCTTTTACTGCTACTCTGATCCAAATTCAATTTATAGGTAGCTCATTGTCGTTAAAACTATGATGTAGACACACAAGAAGAAATTGACGCAATGGATAGAACTTATAACAAACTTTATTAAAATAAAAGCAGACAACTAAAACTTGACAAACACAACTAGAAATACTAGGAGATTTTAATGAGCTACTAAACTTCAGCTCAAGCAACTTAGAGAATCAGCTCAAAACCAAATGCTCCAAAACAGCCAACCCGTGAACCACCAGCAGCCAGGGACCAATCGAGCCAGCAAACCAAAGGTCTACCAAATCTTATGCACAATCTACCATGATCATTGGATGCTTTCCCATCATTGGATAGCTAAAAAAGAAAAGAAAATAAAATAGAAAACAAAATATACTATTGTTCAAATAAAAGAAAAGTACAGATATTCTTGATAGCTTCAAACCATCAGTTAGAAATTTTTACTTGTAGAAATCATTATTTACAGGAATCATCTGACTTTCCTACTACTTGGAATAAGGTTAAAATTGGTATATGCATCTTAAAATTAATCCGTTTGAGTTAGTTTAGAAGGACTAATCGTTATATCACAAATACTTATTTCTTGAGTATTTTCTTTACTTCATTCAAATCCTTCGTGAAAACAACTTTGACAACCGTTCCTTCAATTTATGGTCTCATTGATATTTATCACTTCAATTAACATGCCATATGCATATACAAATAGGGTTGTCAAAAGCGGGTTTCGGGTCAGGTTTAGATCGAACCCAAATCTGATCCGACACTTTTTAACCCTACCCGAACCTGACCTTTTTTTGCAAACTAGTTGATTTTTTTGGACCAGAACCCGACCCGCTTCGGGTCCTGGTCAACCCATACCCGACCCGCTTCTTTTATGTTTTACTAAATTATTTTTATTTAATTCAATTTATTTTAACCTAAATCGAATTAAAGTAAGATTTACTTTTTCACTTTAAAATTAACCAAGATTAATTCAATTTGGGCAACATGATTTATTATTTTTTGGAAATAACATTTACTTATTTCATAACAATCTTCTAAAACTCTCATAAATCAATTAAAAACGGGTTAAACCGGGTTGATTTTAGGTTTCCGGGTCAACCCGAATCTGAGCCGATTTTACTAACAGGTTGAAATTCCTAACCCGAATTTGAAATTTTTGGGTCGGGTTCAGGTTGGATTTTCGGGTCGTGTCAAATAATGACACCCTTATATACAAATAAGATCATATGAGTCTTTTTTCATACTGAAACAGTGAACTACAAGGCATCAATTTTTTAGTTTCCATTTGCGAGGAGTTTGTTTCATGCCATATGAGCTTTAACGTGGGACAAATCTCATTAAAGTTTATGCTTGATTCCTTCTTTTTGCTGAAATCATTTTACCGCTAGCTTTGTTTTATGTCTTTTATTGACATGTGCTCTTTTTTGATAAAAAATTCATTTGTTATGCTACACTATCTAAATCCTTTTATAGTTAATTTAATGTTCACTGATATTTTCATATAAGAAGTCCATCTCCCTTTTTATTGTCAGCTTTCACATAATCTTGCAGTTAACTTGCATTACTTCTTTAAGCCAATTATATTTATCAGCATAAGTGAACATTAAATAATATAAGAAAGGATAATACTTGTTAGAAAGCTTTCTTGATTGTATCACTACTTTGCTCAACTCGCGCTCTATCTTAGCACTTTCAAAAGTCGCTGACATCTTTGTTGCAAATAATGTTAAAAAATCTTGTCCAACTCAACTTATTCACTTATGATGGCCCACTTAGCAATTTTAGACCCATCTTTGTCTATGATTGCTTCATGACAACTTTATTGAATACAACATTTCCACTTATGATGATCTTCTAGTTTTATTCATTCTAAAATCTATAGTCAAAATTATTAAATAACATTTTAAAGCTAGGGTCTAACTTATCCCTATTAATATGTACGCATGCTTATAAGAAATTTAAATTTTTTAAAGAAAATTGTTACCTCATTGTTAGTCCAAGCTACTTTAAAAAGGTCATAATATAAAAGAATTACGGGTCTTCATTTGATTATATATGTTGCAGTTAGGGGTGTCAAAATTGGTTGCGGGTCGAATCCGGTATTGACCAGCTATTGTTTGACCCGACCCGAATCCAACCCATTTTTGCAAACGGGGGTCATAGTTGCAACCCGACTTGACTCGCTAGGTTATATGGTTGACCCGCCCCGATTAGCTCGAGTTGCTAGAGCGTGGTTGCGACCAGCGGGGTGAGTGCGTCACACACAGCTTAGAGTAGGCTACGCCGTGAAAGCGAGGCGAGATGTGCGGGAGCGAGAGGAGATGTGCATGGCAGGGCCTAGGTGTGGGCAGCGGGTGGGCGAGGCGAGAGGGTAGAGGTTCGGGTGCGAGCTAGGCAGGGTAGGTGCTTACACGTCTGTATGAGATGGGCATGCGGTGCGAGGGTGAGTGGGGCACGTGGTGCAAGACAGTGAGCGGGAAGTGTGGGCATGAGCAATCTATGGGTCATTCAAATGCTTCCACCTTTTAAAAGTTTTAACAACATTCAAATTTATTTTTCGTAAGATAAACTTATATATTTTTGGTGGAGTAATCAATGAAGGTGACCTTAAAGTGAATCTCCAAGAGATGCCACCATGGATAATCCATGCATATGTTGGTTTGGATAGGATCTTGTTTTAGGGCCTTGTGTTCATGCCTTTGAAAAAATGACATTTTTAAAAATATTTTATGAATGCAAGTCATAGAAAATTGAAATCTAAAAATTTAGATTAGGAATTCTACTCTTTGAATGCGAAGAGTGTAGGCCTAAGTTGGCTCTAATATAATACATAGTTCTCTGGTTTAAATTAGGGAGAAAACTTCTTTACAAATGTATGGGTAATATTGCATGCATCAGTGCTACCCAAATATTTTCATTACTAAGGGTTCCAAGCATTGGCATCCCTTTTACTCGTTGGATGGAGAATCCTTGTCTCTTTCTAGTTGATGTCTCATCCTTATATGCTATGCTTATGAATCGGTGTTTGAGTTTGTTGTTTCTCCTATTCATTTATTAGAAGTCATTGGCAGCATGCCATTTTTGCTACCACTTGTAATTGTAGCCCCCTTAGTTACCGTTCAAGTGTTAATATTAAATGGCGAGTGACATCTCTTTTCATCATGTTATCTAATTGAGATGAAATTTCTCTTCAAGCTTTGAATATTATCCAATTGGTAGTTTACTAATAATTCTGACAATGCTGGCCTATCATCAACATAATAGAGTTCTCAATAGTTGTCTATATAAAATAATTTGATACAAGCTCTTTATGTGAAGTGCAGTGCAAAGATACGGTTGAGTCTAGAATTTAGGACTCTATGGTATTATCAGAATTGATGGTTAATGCATCTTGAATCACTTGTTTTGTTAATTTTGTAATTCTTCTTTTTGGTTTGATTTTGCATTTTCTTCCTTGAACAATATTTTTTCATTTCTTATGCCATTCACATCGCTCGCGTGAGTCACCAAGATCTTCGGATGTTGTGTCGTCTTTTTTGAGTTTTGAATCTCATAGGATTGTACCAATATTTTGCGGTTCTTCATCTTCTTTAATATTCAAAGCAGTAGAAGAAGAGCCTTCCCATAATTCTTGCCTTTGAATATTTTCAGCTTGGTTTAAGTCTCCAACATTATTAAAATTTTCTCAATTGGTTAAGCTTACAATGCCAAGCTTTATTCTTAATTACAGGTTGGCGAATTTTATGAAGCAATTGGAATTGATGCTTGCGTTCTTGTTGAGCATGCTGGCTTGAATCCTTGTGGGGGTTTGCAGTCAGACTGCATTCCAAAAGCTGGTTGCCCTGTTGTGGTAAGTGGTTTAATTTCAGTTATTGTTAGTGGTATTGAGAGTAATCCGGCTTCTTTGTTTTTTCCATGCTCATCGCTTTTTATTAATATAGCAATCTGTTAGCTTAGTGTTGTTATCTCCCATCAAATAAGAGAGATTAAGTTTACACTTTACAGCAGTTATAGGCTTTTTTAATTTTGCTAGCATGTATCTATTTGTAAAAGTTTATTCTGATTTTAATTTAACCCAACTTGTTTATTGCCTTTTCTAATCTTCTCGGGAACCTTTTATCATGAAACATTGGATTGTTTTAATTTCTGCTGACTGACCTTGCTTAGTTGTATTTTATACCGCAGAATTTACGTCAAACATTGGACGAGTTGACACGGAATGGTTTTTCAGTGGTAAGTGTTTCACATGCTTTCCACTTTTTCATAGTCTAATCTTAATTTTTTCCCGTTTCTTTATACACCTTGCAAAGTCCCTCTGTTGTTTTCCAATTATCATTGAAACTGATGCAGTCAAAAAATTATCATTTTATGTTTTTTTAATTTTCTTATATTTTGGACGCTGTAATTTTGGACTATGTTTTTTATTTTTGTATTGCCTTATGATGGAAAACAATCTGTGATCATGCTTGGGTTTGATGCTTTCAGGTCAGTTCACTCCCTTATATGTTTTCTTGCTCCTTTCCTCTGATGATTGCTCAGTTTCCTGTTGTTTGCTTGGATTCCCTGCTGTCTTCTCGTATCCCTTCCTTTCTTCTCATATTCCCTGTTGGCTGTTTGGTTTCCCTGCTGCTGACTGCTCGTTTTCCCTGCTGTTGACCGCTAGGCTTCCCTGTTGTTTGCTTGGTTTCCTTGCTGTTTGCATCTTGATTCCCCTCCTTAATGATTCCTATGCTATGTGTTTTAACTTCTCATCAATTGGACTGTCTTGAAGGGCTTCTATTGGCTGTTTTGGTGGCACATTTATGTGAGTAATTTATGACCATTTTCCTCTGAGCCTGTATAATTTGGTTGATTTTCTGCTGAAAAGAGGGTTGTGGTTGGTGAATACAAATGTAAACTTGAGGGTTTTTAGCTTGTGAGCTAGTCATCTCCCTATCCTCTAATACTTCGTCTTGGTATTCTCTCCGCTTCTTCTCTCCACGGTTTCCCTTCCACCTGAATCTTTCTTCTCTTCAATTAAAAAAACCTGAGGGTTTTTTAGCTTGCGAGCTGGTCTTCTCCCTATCCCCTATTACTTCGTCTTGGTCTTTTTTCTACTTCTTCTCTCCACGGTTTCCCTTCCATCTGTATCTTCTCTAAATATTGCGAGCTGTAAGGTGTGTTGTGCCATATTTTATTAGTAATTGCCGGAGGAGCGTTGGCTTCTGCTAGATCATAATTCTTGTGGTGGATCTTTAGTTTGTCCTTTCCTTTGAGCACCTTTTCCAATTTTGTGATTTGCATGTTAGGTGGCCATATACGGTTGTTCTGAGGGTCTTTTAATTTAGTTGTTTGATTTCTTATGCGTCTTCCTAACTATTTTCTAAGCTTTGTTCCTACTTATTTTCTATCATTTGTCTTTGTTTATGTGATATTGAAAGGAAATGTCATAATTTACATTCCTAGTGTTCTCATACTTAGTTAAGAGCTTAGGTTGCATCAGAAACTGTGTGCCATTTCATGCACTGATTGTGTTTGGATCATGCTACCCACTTTGGTGAAGAAATTGATTTATTTTAACTGTCCTTCAACATGGATAAATACTATTGTAGTCTTATAAGATGATGGAATAACATGAACTCCAGGTTTTTTTTTTCCAAATTATGTAAAGCAAAATAAAATGGAGTTATGAGAGAGGGTGATAGAACAAAATTTGATAATTTTTTCTTCAATATTGGTGAGTCTATTTGGTTTTATGCAAGGTTAATAAATTAGAGGCATCTTTGTGATGTGTCACGACCTAGCTTAGGGGCTCGAATTAATGAGTCGGGAATTGATGTTTGGACAATTATTTAAACTTTTGCTTTCTAAAATTTCTAAGAATAAACTATTTCTAGTATATTGAAAGAGCCTCTAAAACCTCAGATGTATTTTTAGCAAAAATACTATAATTGTTTTATATAAATATCTTACTCTCAAAATGTCACACCTACGTTATATGTTCTCTCATCTTCCACTCTTTTATTTGGATTATACTTGTGTATGTTTGCAAATAGTAGGGTGAGTTATAACACCACTGAGTAAATACATTACGATTATAAATTATAATAATATCGTGGTATTCTTATAAAATATGCATGCTCATTACAAAACATCAAATAATGTAATTCTTTTTTAAATTTAGTTTGAAAATGTCCATAATTGTTATGCATATTTATATATCTCATGTTTTATCATTTTCTATAACTAATACAACCTTCACTGGAGATACTGTCTAAATAATATAAATTAAGGTAGTTTCATTTACAAATTTAAATTTCTATTTCCATTTTCAAAACCCTTCTTTTCACATGCTTGAGTACATTGCATTCCCAACTAGTAACATAATAGATTGTACTCCATCAATCAACGTACATATGTAATTATATATATATATATATATATATATATATATATATATCATTCAATG